TACCCGATATCCAGATTATTAATCTCCGCTGCCTTGAAGAGTCGCAAGAGAAAGAAAGGGGAAAAGTGAGGGAGAGAGAGAGAGACATAAAACAATGCTAAATCCTTTTTTTATCGTCTTGATATTTTCAACTGATCACGCGGGAGCTAACTTATCAATATGCCCGAAAAATAATAAAGATTAAAATGGAGAATTATTAGAAAACTGGCTATTATACCGAACGAGTACACAGCAATAAACACGGTCATAAAGAGACGCAGCAGCAGCAGCTACCGAGAGAAAGAGCAAAAAAATGGGTGCGAAGTCGTCGTCGTCATCGTCGTTGGTTGGGGGCGGCGAGAGAGCATAATATTGTGTGCGGGCAACGAGCACGCAGGAAAGCGGCAGCGAGTTTATAACGATATCGACGAGATATAAAAAGCAGAGCGCGCGAAATAAGAAGCGATAAAAACGGCCGCCGCCGCCACCGCCGCGTGAGCTCTCTTTCTCTCCTCGCATTAACGGAATCCCTTTTTTATGCTCGTAGTATAGAAATGCTGCCGCGCTGCTGCTACCTCGGTAGCGGCGACGGCACAACTGGTTGTCGCGTTTTCATACCTCTCGAGGCATAAAACGCACGTTTTACCTTTTGCGCGCGATATTAAGAGGAGGCAAATATTAGAAAGTCTTCTGTATGCATGAATGTAAGCAGTGGCGGCAGCAGCAGCCGTGGTATATAGTTATACATACGGCAAAGGACAATTGTACGGTGTAAGATGAAAAAAAAAAGAAAAGCTAGCTCTGCGTATGCAGCGTTGCGCGGAGAGAGAGCGAGAAAGATTATTGCGACGATAAAATGAATATATTATTGCGTGGAATAGTTTGACAGCGAGATTGTATTCCTCTGTATTTGACTTGTGTGCGTGTGTGTGCGGCCATTAATTGCGATGATTTACACGCGACGCTGCACAGCCGCGAGATAAATGAGATATAGAAAGCGCGCGTGTGTAATAATGCTTTAAAATTCGTCAGCAGCGCAACGCGAAATGAGTTAAATCAAAAAAGCTCTCACTGCTCGCGCGCGCGACCCCGGTGATAGCGGAACTTATTCGCGTTTTAGTGTCCTGAAAGTTTTAGGCTTTCGCAAGGTTAACGCGCGCGTATACGAATCTAGGTCAAACGTGGATGACAATTTTAGTTACACGCGCAAAAAGCCGCAGATGAAAAGTTACGTCACAACGAGAGAGTGAGAGAGAGCGAGAAAAAAAAAGATACAAAAATCTCATGTACGACGCTCGTAGTAATATATCCACTCACACGGCATACATATATACGCAGTTAAAGGAGAAAAATCTTTTCCGAGCTGCCGTTGAGTGAAATTGTGAGACAAAACCAGTCGGGCGGGGGCGCGCGTACGCAGAATTAAAAGCGAGAGGGGAGTAGCGCACGGATTGTAGCCGAAAAGGAAAAAAAGAAAGAAAGAGGTAAAAAAAAAAAAAGAATCACATCCCGCGAGCTGTGTGACTGCCGTTGCGGCCACAGGATAAAAGACAGATGTTTTCTTTCATAATACGTCGAGTTGATTTTTAATGTCATTTCGTGCGGCAGCACAGTAGCTGGAGCTAGAATGTGACACACAAGTGTAGCTAGCTTCTAGTGGTGGTGGATGGCACAGTAGCCCCGAGCCATATACGCGAAAGAGAAACTAACTGGATCTAATTTTACGAAGCGAGAATAATAATATTCGACGGGGGGCGCGCGTGGTTTTAAGCAGGCGGTTGAGATTACATCCGGGGCGAGAATTTAATTTCTTGGGGGATACGCGAGTATCGCGGCGGCAGCAGCAACGACGACGACGACGACGACGAGACCAGGCAGAGCAGCAGCAAGCGCATTGCATATCGCGGTTTTACCCCCGCCCGCGCGTAGTTGCCACGGCCGTCGAATATTTATGTAGTTTCGTCACATTCGTGTCGCCGCTGCGTGCTGCACAACGCTATGCATGAGTTTTTCATAACTCGATAATGAATCGCGGAATTTCTCCCGCGTGCGGCGCGGGGCGCGTGCCGATGACGTTTTGCAGAATCGACTGGCGCGCGTTGACGTACACACGCACGCACGAGCGCGAATCGACGATATTAATTGAAAAATGTACACGCGAGCGATAGAAACGAGGTCACCGTTTTTTTCTCCGCAAAAATTAAGCAAAGTTAAACAAATCGACAAAAAAAAAATACCCGCTCCGTTGCGTATCTGTCAACGATCGACCGGTTAAATCAATGAGCGCGCGCGTATACTTTAATTATGAAGAAGAAAATCCGCGGAAAAAATCTAGCTATATATAGCTGCGGTGCATGGTGGTGCTATGCCGTGCCGTGCCGTGCTGCTGCGCCATGGCGCGGAGAACGAGAAAAAAACTCCAAGCCCTCTAAAGCGGATTGCAAATCACTCACCGGAGCAAATCAATCTCTCGAGGCAACGAGATATAGACTTTCAGCGGTATATAGCGTAGTAGACCGAAGTCACGGGCAAAAGTTCATGCGCAACAAACGATCGAAACCTCCAACGGTTTAGCGCGCGCGTATTTTCTAGATTTTTGCCGTTATCAATTAGGTAGCTCGACACGCTTTATATATACCCTATTACGCCGCGACTCGAATTCAAATGCGAAACGGTAAAATGGAAACAAATTCTTTCAACTGAAAATTAAATGATAAATAAAGGTATGATAATTTCAAAAAGTGCACTATGCGCAGTAATTTTTATCGTTTTTTCTTCTGCTCTCTCTCTCTCTCTCTCTTTCTCTCTTTCCAAGCCGCTGTCCAAGTTGTAATCTTTGTTTAATCTAGCTTTTACCTCCTTTGATTTACGAAGAACATTAAAACAAGGAGGATTAACAACTGACCTATTACGACTCGCCGGCCTTGCGCGCGCGCGCGTTGGACCGAAATTGTTCGCGTGAAAAAAATGTCATCATTTACTCGAAAAATAATGTAAGTTTCCATAAGCAGAATTTGATAAAGGTGTGTGACAGGCGAGGCCAGGAGGCGCGCGCGACGAAAAATTTTTCAACGGTTCGCTGGACGCCGGACTAAAATGCTGCTGCTGCTCTTGGCTCAGTGAGCGCTTAATCCGCTCGGGATATGTATATGGGCTGGACCGAAACAAGTGTTATTAATAAAATTAAACCGACAAGAGATTAAAATTTAAATCAAGCTTTTTCCTTTATTCTAAACCATTGATTTTTCTCTTTTGGGTTTCTTAAAATTCGACTGTGCGCTATCTAGTGGTAAATTAGAAACTACTGCGGGCCGGAAGAAAAATCAATATGAGTGGAATTTTCAACACGCTTGCCTTACATTAATTCTAAATGTATTTTCTTAGTTTAAATCGTTAGTTTGACATCGAGTATCAGCAGTAAATAAGTATTATCTTACGAGTTCACATACTTTTCAAATGAATTTGCAGTATATTTATTTCGATTTTAATATTAGTAACATTTCATTAATTTTAGTATTTATTACTTTGATTTTTAAATAAAAATCATTCATTCTTAGAAATATTTTTACAGTGTACTTTTAACCTTTAGGGTGAGGGTGATCGATATACCGACCACTCGAGACTCGAAAATAATCCGATATTTTTAGATGTAAATTTTCGTAAAAATAAAAAGAACCCAAAAATTCCCGACGTCTAAAAGTTCAAGAATTCAATGAAAAAAGGCTAATCATGGTTCAATAAAATCATGAATTCTCCGACGTTCGATTTCACAGAGAATCTGCCATATATACAGATAAAAAGTATAAAGCTCGCTCGCGCGCGCCGTACGCGTTGCATTTCAGGCTTATCTACTTTTTCACTTGAAATGCATTCATTATTATTCATATTTTAGGTACCATGGCCGGCGAGCTTCAGGCGACGATGAAAAAAATAAAATTCCTAGGCAACATCGTGTGCGTGAATATTATGTATAGAGTCATTGCTTTAAGCACGCACGCGGAGCAAAACATTTATATCGCAAAAAATAAAAAGTCAAGCATTGTCAAAGTTTATGCATACAAACAAGGGCGCAAGCTGCGCGCGGAGAGAGAGCGAGTAGTGATAAATAGCTCGAATTTTGAGCGGATGCGTGCATACAAAAGTTAACGAAACGTAATTTGCTGATGTTGTTGCTGCTGCTGCCGCTCATTGACGGAAAAAAATGTTCGAAGGCTCGATTCTCGGGTCGCGATAAAAAGCTAATAACATATCATTACGAATGTTTATTTCTGCACATACGAATGCGCCTAACTCGTGTACAAACTGAAAAGTGTCAAGCACAAAGGAACGTGTACGGAGGAAAAAAGCTCTGCTGCTGCTGCTGTTGCTGTGTCGCGCGAGCTTACAGCATCAGGTACAGCAGCATATACTTGTATTCGTCGAGCCATACACGCGCGTAGCGCACGTCTATCGCAAAGGTCCGCTACACACACACACACACAGAGAAGCGCTTGCGCCCCTTATCAAGCTCGTCCAGCGGCGCAACAGCAGCAGCAGCCGTGGCAGCAGTAGCGCGAGAGAGAGAAAGAGCAAAAACTGCGCGCTCGACTCGCGCCGAAGACAACGTTTATCGCCACACTGGTGGGGTTGCTGTGAACCCCTCCACCGCCGTCGCTGCCACCATGGCACAGAGAGAGAGAGAGAGAGAGAGAGTAAGAGAGATAGGCAGTAGCAGCAGCAGCCAGGACCAGCAGCAGCGGCGGGATGTAGCGGCTGCGGCGGCAACGACGACGGCGTATAAGGGAGGAAGATACGTAGGCGCGCGCGCACGAGAGCTTGCAGCAACCCATATATACGTTATATACGTCGATGCGCGCGCGTTTGGTAGCGGCGTCGAGCGCGCGATATATATACCTAGTGTGTGTGTGTGTGTGAGTGTGTATTTGTGTGTGGTGCATGCACAGAGAAGAGAGAGAGAGGAGAGCACGAGAGCAGCGCAGCGCTCGACGACTCAGCAGTGTCTCGTCGATCCTCAGCACAGATCGTTGCTCTGCAGGAGCTCCTCTCTGCTCTCTCTCGAAACGCACATAACGTAATAAAAGCTCGGGCTCGCGAGCTTGAATCACAGTTCAAAGTGTGTCGCAGGTGTGTCGAGTAGTAGTACAGTGCGGTGCAGTGCGTACACGCGAGCTACTCGCAACCAACACAGCAACAATCCCTTCCTCTGCGCGTAATAATAATAATAACCGGATATAACTCGAATCTTGTGTTGTGTGCAATTGATGTGACTGCTGCGACGGATAAAGTGATAGAGAGAGAGAAAGAGAAAGTAAGAGAGCGCGATGACCTGACACACTCACATATACTCCACAATAACAAGAACAACAACAACAACAGCAACATGCGCCACGACGCGACGGCCTACTACTACGATGCTGCTGTTGCCGCTGTTGCCTCTGCCACTGTGTTAAATGTGACCTAATAATATCTCGTGTCGTGTCGTGTCGTCGTCTCGCTCGCGGCTGTCGGCGTAGACAGGCCAGAGCTTTTGGCTCGCACACCGTGTGTTGTTGCCACCCCCAAGCGCAGCGACGATGCAGCGGTCGTCGTTGTCGTTGTCGTCGACGATGCAGCAGCTTCCGCTGCTACTCCTGCTGGTCGTGATGGCGATGGTTAATAGCGGCTACTCCACCTCCTCCTCGTGTCCAGACTCGTGCGAGTGTCGCGCGCCGGTGATCGAGTGCCGGGTGCGCGTGCCCGAGCTCGACGAGCTCGACCAGCTCGCCGCGGACTTTCACGAGCTGCGCGTGCACCAGGTCGACCAGGAGCAGCTACGACCCTACGTGGGCGGCCGGCCCAACTCCACGTTTCTCGCCGGCCTGCAGGCCCTGCAGCTGACCAACTGCACGAGCCTCAGCGACCTGCACTATCTCCACTGGGACGTGTTGCGCAGCAACGGCGCCAATTTCCCGGTGCTGCCCAACGTCAGGCTGCTCAACGTCTCGCACAATCAGCTGGGCGATCTGCAGGGCTATCGTCGGGTCGACCGCAAGGTGGCCAATCAGCTGCGCACCCTCGACGCGTCCCACAATCGCATCAGCGGCATCGGCCTCATCGACTTTCGTCACACCTCGCAGCTCACCTGGCTCTCGCTGGCCAGCAATCGCCTCGACTATCTCAGTCCGGCCAATTTCCGGCCGCTCCAGGCCCTCGAGCACCTGGACCTGGCCGACAACGCGCTCCACAATCTCGAGGGCATCTTCGACTCGCTCGCGGCGCTGCTGCACCTCAACGTGGCCGGCAACAAGCTCGAGCACGTGCAGGCCAGCTGGTTTCAGAATCTCAGTAGGCTGGCCGAGCTCGACATATCGCGCAACAAGCTCACCTTCGTCCCGGCCGACACGCTCCAGCCACTGGCGAGCCTCTCGGTCTTCAAGCTCGCCGAGAATCCGCTCATAGAGCGCGACCTGTCGCTGCTGCTGGGCACGGGTCGACGACTCGAGGCGGTCGACGCGTCGCGGATCGGCTTGCTGAGAGTGCCGGCGGCTCTGACGCGCTCCGTGCGTACTCTGAAGTTGATGGGCAATCAGTTGACGTCAATCAATAGCGGCGACCTCGACAGCTATCCGCTGCTCAGGTCGCTGGACGTGTCGGACAATCGACTGATGATCATCGAGGACGACGCGCTGGGCCGACTCGACGGCTTGGAGGAGCTCGTGCTCTCGGGAAATCTCATGCCTAACATACCTAAAAGTCTACCGAGCGGCTTGAAACTGCTCAATCTGCGACAGAACGCCATATCCAAGCTAAGGTCCAACGATCTTCAGGGTCTCTACCTGCTAAAAGAGCTCAATCTCAGCGGCAACGTGATAAGCTGCATCGAGGGCGAGTCGTTCCGCCAACTACCCGCCCTCGAGATACTCGACATCTCCGACAACCCCATCAAGAAACTTCTCTCGGACACTCTGAGCGGCCCGTCCAATCTCGTGCAGCTTCGCATGTCCGGCCTGATGGCCCTGGAGGTCGAGCGCGACCAGAACCAGGACACGGCCTTCCCCGTGCTGCAACTCGAGCGACTCGTGAGTCTCGACGTGTCGCGCAGTCCGGTACTGGCGGCCCAACTGTTGGCCGACAACGCCGCGCTTCCGGCCTGTCGCAGCCTCCAGCGGCTCGATCTCGCCTACACCAACGTGAGCGCCATCAGGTCCGATCTGGCCTATCAGCTGCCGCAGCTGCGCCTCATCAATCTGATCGGTAACAAGTGGAACTGCAGCCCGGATCAGCGCTGGCTCGGCGAGTGGCTGCGCCAGCATCCCGACTCGATCGAGTACTCGACCAAGTGCGTCTATCCGCCCGCGATCGAAGGTAAGCCACTGGAGAAGATGCAGAGGATGCCACCTCGTCGCGAGAGGATCAACGACGATGACGACGACGACGACGATAAGCCTGCGACTACCAAGCTCGACGTCGTGGATCGTTCGAATTTGGTGTTGGTCGAGAGCGCGACGAGCGAGGAAAACGTCGTCGTCGTCAAAAGCAGCAAGGAGCAGCTGCGTAACAAAGTAGATCTGCCCGATGCATCGGAGCGCGGGAAAGAGAGTAGAGGCAGCAGTACCGACTCGCCGTTACTCACGACGAGCGACGTCGGCAAGATGGATAATACCGTGCCGACGTCGGAATCCATCATAATAAGCACGCCGCAGGCTGCTACTACCGCCGCCTCCGCTGCTACATTGAAAATTCAAGAATCCGAAAAAGTAAACAAAGCAGCAGCAGCAGCGAAGATAAATAAATCTCGGGATTTCTCATCGATCAGCTCGCGGCAAGCCATCAACGCCACTAATGGAGAAGAATGGCTGCTGGCGCACTCGACGTCGAACGGTAGTAGTGGTAGTGGCCCGGAGGCACGCACCACTCAAATAACCCGATCAAAAATGGCTAAACTTTTCACGCCCAGTGCCGCCAAGTCTATCGCGTTCAACAAACGGACCGCCGTCACGGCAGCAACGGACGAAGCAGCAGCAACAACACTGCCGCCAGCAGCAACGACGAATGCGAATCCGACCACGGCTGCGGCACGCGTGACTAAGCAGCAGCACGTTACCGAGGACAAAGAATTATTATCTCGAACTGCCGAAATTCTGATGAAAACGACGGATTCGATAGCGGAAACAAGTACGACTACGACGACGACGACAACGACCACTGCGAAATCAGTGCCACCGTCGACTACACCGTCGAAAACCGAGAGATCTGAGAGCATAAAGAACGACGACGGCTCGATGAACAAATACAAAGTCGCGAAAAAGGACTCGCTGATCTACGAGGAAAAATCCACGTCGAACCAGGTGGTGTCGGATTTCTCGCGCTCGAAGCTGCTCAGGACCAACAGCGACGACGAGATCAGCAGCAACGTGCCCAGCGTGTCGACCGGCGAGCTGCTCACGAGCAGCAGCAGTAGCAGCAGCAGCAGCCAGCTGGTGACGCAGTCGGGCGCGCACACGTCCGAGACGGTGACGAGCGAGGCTCACCCCGGCATGCTGGTTCTGCTCGGGGCGGCCATCGGCGCCGCGGCCGCCCTCACGGTCATCCTGTCGCGAAGGGCCACCGCGAAGAGGCGAGACCATCAGCGCTATCAGCGCCACGAGAACATCGAGGTTCACGCGCTCAGCAGCCCGACCCAGGAACTCTGGTGAATATCCTCTGAAAGCTTCGACTTTGGGATGGAACGAGATTAAGGCAGAGAGAGAGAAAGAGTCAGTGACAATAATAATCAAGATAAAGAGTGATAATGAAGTTACATTGAAAAAAAAAAATCAAATGAGAAAATTCACGATGAAAATAAAAATCATGTGAAAGCTGTAGAAAAAATTTTTGTAAAAAAGTGTGTAATTAATGCTGAAAAAGAAAAATAAAATGTTTAATTAAACGCGAAATTTCCATGAAGAGAGCGAGAGATTGATACTTCGCTGAAAGGACGAGAGAGAGAGAGAAGAAAAAAAAACAAAGTGATGAAGAAAATTCAAAACGAATATCTCCGGCATACAAAAGACTGCTTCTTTTAAACTGCCATTTTCTGGCTGCAAGCCAATCGGTCGTGTAGACGTGTAAACTAAGGGACAGCCAAAATGAAAGAAAATAAAAGGGCAACATATACGGTGTCGTAGAAAATAGTAGAGAGAGCGAGAGAAAAAAAAATGAATCGCAACAGAAGCTAGATATTATCTTTCGTAAGATAAAGTGTCAAAGTAATGTTTAAGATACGAAAAAAAAAAAAAGAAAAATAATGTACAAAGCTAAGCTATAAATTCGACGAAACTATGTCTGTATCTTTAATCTCGATTAATGAAAAAAAAAGCATAATTGTTATTCTCTAAATGACTGTACATGATTTTGTACCATAACGCAAATAACCAACTACGTGTAGATAAATGCCACTACAGTGTAATATGAAACAAAACAAAAAAATTATAACTAGGATCAAGCATTATGATTCACATTCGCAATACGTTGTGTTTCCATTACGTAAAAAGAAAATAAAAAACGATAAGATGGGAAATTTTCCGTTCGACACTGATTTTAAATTGTATGAAAAATAATCGTCAAAATATGATATATTTGTTAAAAAAAAATATTTACTATTTTGAAAATAAATTCCATTGCAACCAAACTTTGACAACTGTGTGAATTTTACTTGATTATAAGCCTTCTACTGTTTGTACCACAAATAAGCCGCGCACCTCGACGTCACAGCTCTTACGTTATTTAATCAAAACCTGTTTAAACAAAGTATATCCCCTGAGCCCTGCCTATTTATTTATCGAAATTCGTTTTATTATCTAATTTACGAACTTTATTTCTTCCTCCACCGCGCCACCGCCGCCGCCTCGGTTCTTAATACGCAAAGCACCATTATTAGCGAGCATCAGCATGCAAATTACCCAAGACATCCTCCCTCTTTCTCTTTGTCTTCATGAATATTAATTTATTGCAAAGAAAAGATACACTTATAATAGCGGGAAAACTTCCTGGCTGCAGTGGCAGAGGTAGCAGCAGCAGCACTGGCTTGGCTCGTAATGCCATCGATCGGGAGCCACCCCACACGCAGCAGCAGCAGCAGCAGCAGCCGCACTTTATGCCGTGTCTCGTTGCAGTAGCAGTAGCAGCAGCAGCAGCAGCCGGTAGCGCAGATCGTCCTCTGACTTCAGGTGGCTCGCTTCCTCCCTTGTAATTCCTTTTAATAATTCCGCTACTTATATTTTTGATTCTACTTATATTTTAGTTTAATTTTTCGCATATTTTTTCGCCTCGAGGGCTTGAAGTTTCATTTCTACCTTGTGTGTGTTTTTTTTTTGTCGTGTCTTGTTCTACCACTGACCTATCTTTTTCTCGGGGACATATTTTTAACTCGCTGGCATTTTTCTATATAAATATACGAAAAGGTTTCGCCCAAGGGTATGCAAAGATCTTTTTTATATCCTTGGAAATTCTTTGGCTTTTCTGGATTAAAGTGAATAAGGATTACACATGTTTCGCTAAGGGTATGCAAATGTTTATCCCGTACGAGAAGAGTAAGCTCTTAAAAAATTTCACATTTTATTTTCATTTTAATTTTATTTTCTTCTTTTTTTCAACTCGCATCGAATTCCCAAGACTTCATTCTTGAATAGCCACTCGCGCGACCTTAGCCACGTGTGCAATCGCATACTATCTGGAAATTTTTTCTCCCTCTCTCTCTCCTTCGAAATACCTTTCGCAAGAGGAATTCAATATACCTATTGGGTTTTGCGCGTGATAAATATCAAACTTGCTGACAAATATTTTGACGGAAACGTAATTAAATCCGTACAGACACGGGGGCGCGCAGCAGCTGCGTGTACGGCTTCTTTCGGAATTACAACTTTCCGACGCGAACTACAAAGTCTGACTGAAAACTTGGTTGTACTACTTACTTAGCGAGCTGAAACTTCGATAATTGTCTGAAATCATTATTATTTTTATTCGGCCCTCGTATTTCGTTATGTAAATCGTTAATTCTGATGTTTTATAATGAAATAAAAAAAGAGAGAAAAAGAAAAAAGAGGGAAACAAAGCCCGCTGCACAGATATATAAATTTAGCTACTCGGTATATCGAAATAAATCCTGTCTCAATAAGAAGGTTAACTAGCAGCACTCGTCGAGAGCGTCAAAGGATGCTATATACACAGTAACCGTACTGTGCGAGCTGAGAGGGAGACGATATGAACGTATCAATCGACATGAATAAATAAGTATCTTTTCTCCCCGCCTCCCGTTAACAGCGTCGAGTACATCAAGTAGACGAGTTTTATTTATAAGCTCGAAGCTCGTCGTCGTCTGAGTGTGTTTGTGTGTGTGCGCACGTGTATATAGTTGCGCTCGCGGAGAAATCGCGCGCTTCACGAGTATGTGTATGCGTCTATGTGTATAACTGTACACATTGCTTCAACTCTTTCGCCTTTGCGTCAGTAGATCTCGCGCTCCACTACACTCGAGCGAACAAATCGCTGTGAAAGTTTAACGAGGGCAGGAATATCGGAACGACGAATCGATCGATTTTCCTCTCGAAGCCTCAAAGCCATCGTCGTCGTCGTCGGTGGCGGCAGTAGCGCGGAGGCAACGATGACGAGGACGAAAGCTCGAAAGATGAAGAATAGAGAGAGACTCGTGCCGAGGTATTCGTAAAAGAGAGAGAGAAGCGTGCGCGCGAGCGATTGAAGCCAAGGGAACAATAGCGGAATCTAGCAGAGACTGTATGAGAGAGAGAGAGAGAGAGTTTTAAACCTCGCTAGGAGTGGATTTTTTATTTTTCAAATTTTAATTTCTATCTCGAACGGGCGAGGGAGTATGTACATTTTGTTCGACTCCTTTTTTTTTGGCCCCTAATTCTTTTTTCTCTTTTATTCTGGGCCAACTTGTGAAAGAGACCGGGATAAGTTACGACAGCCTACCAATTTTTTTTTCTCATACAGCACCAAAAGTACACACGGGTGTACGTAATTGAATAATTAAAGACTCGCTCGTTCGAATTTTCGTCGAATTGCCTCTCGCAACATAGAAATCGGTGTCTATTATGTACGAGAGAATAAAAAGTATATACATTCGTTCCTAATCTCGATGCTCACTTGTTATACCTCGGGAACAGCAGCAGCAGCAGAGCACTGTATATAGAGCGTCGTCGCAGCACTATACAAATCCGCAACAACACCTCCGCCATCCAATTCCTCTCTCTCTCTCTCCTACCTCAGTCGCCTGAAAATTCAATCAAGACCGCACGCAAGTTCAGTCGCACACGCGTACCTATACCAGGATAATGTACACCTCTTCTTCCTCTATCTACCTTCTCTCTGCCTCTCTACCTCTCTCTCTCTCTCTTTCTCGCACGATATCCTTATTGGCTTGAAGATTACGATGGAATGGAAAGGTATTATATGCCATGGCGCGCGCTCCACCTCTCTCCTGCTCTTGCGCACGCGGTTAACGTAATCGCATTTCCCTACCGAATTTCACAGTTAATCGGAGACCCCTTGCCTTTGGAAGCAGCAGCAGCAGCAGCAGCAGCCGCCACCGCTGCTGCTTGAACCGAGAGCTGGCACTAGGCGCGTACCTTTACCCTCTCTATGTAGAAATTTACATAAAAAGTACTTGTCTGATTGGATATAAAGTGTTCTTTTATACGCACAGACCCCGGAGCTAGTGTAGCGAGCGCTAGAGTATGAGTAAGGAAACGCGTGAAGCGGGTAATTGGTCACCAAACTCGATGTGTTATACGGTGTGTGTGTCGGCACATGCGGCTCCGAGTTGCGCCAGGCAGGGGGGGGGGGGCGATTATTGGCCTCGGCGCGTGTAATAATGTATTGGACGTTTCTCGTTGGCCTATGCATTTTTATCATCTATTTATCCAATCTCTGAGCTCCGACTCCAGGTAATCGAGTGAGCGATCTATTTTTTTTTTTTTTTTTTCATAGTCTACTCGATACTCATTGTGTCCTAGAAGAAATTTTTCATTTCAGTTTAGTATAATTTACGAAAAACTCTTCTACGTAGTATTGAAAGTTTACAATCCGCTGTGCGAACAATAAAATGGATAATAGAAGCTTGAAAATGATCAGTTCACTCCTTATACTATATATAATCCTAGAACTCTGCTTTTACACTTTCAATTATTAAAAATTCGTACGTGCGCCATCTAGCGGTAACTCAAGTACTAATTATTGTTCATGTCGGCGATGACAGTCAGGCTGAACGACATCTCAGAAGAAACAACTTTCGACCGTCTATAATAAAAAAAAAAACAGGTAATAATGTACTAATTCGCACTTTGCGCAGCGGCAAAGAAACAGTCGCTTTTCGGGCCGCTGGTACGACAGAACAATTTTGTTTAATTCTTTTTTACAACGTGCGTAGTATTTTTACGACCGGCAACGTCGTCTGTCTACATTCATTGCCGCACGGATGAAAGAGAATGAAAAATAAAAAGAAGAAGGAAAGTTGCATCCTAAGGCAAAACTTCCTCCTAGTCTGTCGCAATTGCTACATGCAGCAGCAGCAGCAGCAGCAGGTAGCGTAATTACACAAACGAAGTAAAGTAGCAACGTCGTCGTCGTCGTCGTCGCCGACGTCCTTTGCAGAATCAGCAGACAGCGCGGCAGGAAGGAAGGAAGGACGGAAGGAAAAACTGCATGTGTGTGCGCGTACATATATCTCCACTCGAGATACATCACACACAGACGAGAGAGAGAGAGAGAGAGAAGCACAGACATATAAGCGTGTGCGCGCGGGGGTAGGATGTGTATC